GCGATATCTTTCTTCCATCGATCTAACTTATCTCATTTTCCATCCCTGGACCCTTCCATCCTTCTTTGCACCGCCAAATGGACTCCCATTTTCAAATCTTCCCCGTGAATCGGAGGATCCTTTCGACGACGACGTAATTTACGATAAAGCGTGGAATCGATGAGAAACAGACGACATCGTTTCGAAACACTTCGATCGCGTTGCTCGAGATAACCACGCCATCGATAGCCATGATGCTCCCGTGAACGAGGTGTTTCGTTCAAGCAGAAGAAAGCAGAAGCAGAAATTGCGATCTTTTCCGCCCGAGGAGAGAGTTTCGAAGAGGGGAGAAGGAGAAGGATCGTTACTCGAATGAAATTGTTACTTGATCGTACTTGCTTGTTCGGATACACCTTTCGATCGATCGACCCCAGAACGAATTAAACCCCGTCCGATAATCGCGGTTTGTTTCCTCCCCCTTTAACAAAAGAGGCAAGAGACCACTTCGTGATCGTACGCCATTATATCATTGGAATAGGCCGCGTTTCTACGATCGTTCACGGTCGAGATCCGATCTACCGTCAATCGCGTGCATCTTTTGTGCGCGACTATCAGGAGGCTTCTTGTAGGGGATGGAGAAGGAATTTCCATCGTTCGACGCTGGGACAAAGTCTTTATTAAAAAGCTTCCCCGTTCAAGAGAGCATTCACGGCTCGAATCAGCGCGCGCCGATAGCATCACGTACGCCTTATAATTTCCCGGATACGTCCTGCAGGAAGACATTTATTCAAAACGTATCTGCTCGCAGATTATTTCGTTATTCCCGGCGCGGTTCGAAGCAGTGAAAATAGGGTAGATGCTCGGCGGATAAAGTGGTCACGGAGTAAAAGTAAAACTTTTCTCTTCGATTTTTTTTCGATCGCGATCGTACAATGGCGAGTAAAGTGGCGATAATGATTGCCGATACCGCGACACGCAACGTCGCGCAACGAAATCGAATTTTTTTTTTTTCCTTCCTCCTCCTCCTCCTCCCCCTTGCATTTTTGCAACGTTGAAAATTCAATTTATCCTCCGTCTCCCCCCTCCTTCTCATCCACCGCACACGCACAATGCCCACGCTCTACCACGCTTTGTCCCGATAGAAATTATTTTTGTATAAGACCAGATATAAGCATTAACAGGCTCGATATCGATCCATGTTGTTCCATTTTTATTCCGCCCCCGGTTGGTTTGCCACCGTTCCATAAAGAATGTACGTTTCGCGACGAATGGGGGCGCATACAGACCGATCCGCGATTGGAAAAAGTCGCTTCAGGTATTCCCGGCTGTACACGGGAATGTTAATGCTAATTCCTCAAAGAGTCCCCTATCCTATCGTCACCACCTATTTTGCAGCACAATTTTTCGCAGCGAACGGGAAACCCGTTAAAAACGCCGTCCCACGTTAAAAAGTCGAAAAGTGGAATATTATCGAAATATTATTGCCCTCGTATCGTAATGCGATGTATCCGTCTCTCTTTTTTCGAAAAAACCGAAGGTCTCGAAAAACGAAGGCCTCGATCGAGTTTCGCCTCGTAAAAAGGATGATATCTCTCCCCTCTGAAAAGGGGATATCACGTCCTCGGATGTATGCACGCGGGCAACCGCATAAATATTTCTTTAAAATGCATTTTGCGTAGCCCGAGAACCCACGGGTATCGCGTATCTATATCCGTGTATACGTGAGCACCTATCTTCCACTGGATCATCCTGTTGTTTCGTCAAAGTCGTTACATCCGCGCTAGGCAGCGTATAATCCTTCGACAACGGGGACAAGCTCGCTGTTGTATGCATAACACCGTGAACTTGTCACAAGGTAGACGCGTCAAAAACCATTTTACATTTTACCCCGCCCCAACCGGGGAAATCTAATCCAGCACGAAAAACGTATTTGTTCCGGTGAAGTATAAAAATGTTTCGTTGTCTCGATGTAAAGGGAACCGCAAGTGTGCACACCTATTTATTTACACACCTTTTTTTCCCCCCGCGATGCCGTTACCACGGTAGGAAAAAGGATCCGCGATTTGTGCGCTTCACAAGGAAAATTCGTACGTGAGTCGCGCTTGCATGAATTTTTACCTTTTCAGGCGGACGATAAAATTCACAGACTATCAACCGTGTACGTCGACCCTTCGTACCTTGAAATATTCATCGGAACCACGTTCAATATTTAAACGCTTTCAAATGCATGTTTTACCGCAATTACGTTAGCCACGTCTGTGTCTCCAAGCATGTTGTGCAATTAGACACGTTTGCGCTAAAAATTTTCCCTCTCCGTTGTTCGACAAATCAATTGTTACGACAACCCGATATTTTACATTTTCTTCGTGCACGCTTCGACCACCACTGGTCACATTTTCCGATTACTCTTTTCATTTTCTTTCTTTTTTTTTTTTTATTATTTCCTTCTTTTTGTATTTTCTCCCCCAGCTTTTTTTCCCCCCCTCTTCTAGCGACCGTGCACACGCACAGTTTATAATAATGGAAAATCGTTGATTTCGAGGAATGCTCGCTTCGATTGAAACCAACATCGAACTATTCACTCTGCCTCTCGTGCTGCTTTTTATACACACGTAGTAAAGATGTATACGTATGCAGTAACCATTGTACGTCTCGATCCACGTTCTTAACCAGGAGGAGAAGCGCAAACAAATTTTTCGCGAGGACGTGGATCGATGATCGTGGGCGAGCATCTTGAGTGGATGACGCGGTCCAAGGGGCATCCAAAACGAATTTGTTCTGGCTTGTGACGGCACGAGCTACCTCGATCGTCGTATATAACAATCAGGGCTTATCACGGTTGGTCGGTAAAAGGCTGACGAGGCGTGGGTCAATCCCAGCCTGGTCGATAAGGTCATCGAGCTGGCGAACACAGTCATTTCCCGACACCGACCAGGTACTTGGTAGAATTATCCTCGTTGACGAGCGGCTAGGGCTTAGTGGCCGTATTATGGGCTTGGAATTTCTTCCGGAAATTCGCCTAAGATGGACGAGAAACACGTTCCACAGCCCGTATCCCGAATAATATACCGAGTTGGACTGCCCCGATTTTTAACGAGCCTGATTAAAACTTGGTGCTCTTGTTTCTCAAAAATGAAATCTTCTTCTCGATTACTTATGGCGAAAATATAATTAAAAAGAAAAAAAAATAGATAATTTTATCGTTCGAGATCGAAAATATAACGTGCGACGACTTTACGTTTACGGAAATTGTCATCTTCGATTACAAATCCATTGCGCTGAACATATGGAAAACGAAACGCACGATATCGTGTCTTCGAATTTTACGTATCGGTGCGTTTACGAAATGCAGAAATTCGAATGATGCGATTAACGCGATATCTTTTAAAAAATCACGTAAAAAGCGATATCCTAAATTGAATCACGGGAACGATTTGTTGTCGAAATTGTATGAATTGTGGGAAAAAATCTAAATTCAAATACGAGTTATTAATATTCTCCCGCGAAAACGTAAGAATTCGATCTCGTTTTCGATCCGTTTCTATCCTCTCCGTTCTTGCAGTGTAGTTTTTCTAAAACACCGCGAAACCGAGCATTCGTCCGCAATAAGCATTCTTATCGATCTCCTCGACTGGTGTCGGTCGACCGCTTCCACAGCTTTTGCTCGGTAATTGCGAAACAATTAAGAATACGGATATCGCTAAACCGGTTTAATCAAGCTTCATAGAATTGGTTCGCCTCGATCCTTCCGAAAGCCGGGAATTAATTCGTTAATCCCGAAAAGTTAGCGAAAGGAAATTGTATTCAGCCATTTCCCGGCCGCTTCTGATACCCCAAACGAAACGTTTCTTTTCACCGTGGCACCGATTCCGTTCCTCGTCTCCTAGCTCGACGAGTGTACGTTTGCAAGGATGAATAAACGGACGAGGTACGAACGACGATCGAGCCGGAGATAAAGTTTGAACAGCCTTTACCAGAATTGCCGCCTAAGTGCATTAAAACTTGAAGCAGTTACCAACCGAGATTACGGGTGGGGATGTCCCTCACACTTTCCAGGTTTCGATGCTGCGAACTTCTCTAATTCGTTAGCTTGGTCCGCGCATCAATCTTCGTCGTTTTCGCTCTTCTCCCCTTCCGCTTCCTTATTCAAATCGATAGGAGCGAGAAATCCATCAAAAATGAAACTCGAGGCCAACTCGAGGAATGCGTTGCAAAGTTGAAACAGTGGCCGACGTCGGTCACGAAAGTTGAGGGAAGCATTAGCAAAATTTCCATTTAATTTTGCGTCGGCCGGCTTCCCGTCAGGAAAATCACGGGGAAACACGTTCAAGGGTTCAATGGGCGGGTACTCGAGAGATTCGATGGGTCTATTTTCCGATCGATCATCGTCACGGAATCATTTCATCACCGGCTAAAGGATTGCTTGCATATCGACGAGGGTTGTAAAATGACCAGAGTATGACGCGGCCAGAGTTTCGAATTACCTATGTATAACCAACCGGCGCGGCGCAAGAGAAACAGAGGATGTTGGAATACAATTGATTCGCATCTGTGGAAAGTGTCCTCCTCCTCCCGGATCTATCTGGCCTACAATCGATCGCACACGTCTCCAACCGGAATTAGGAGAGCGCGTCCTTTGTACTACGTTGGACATTGATATCTGTTACGTCGTGGTAACGTGATTCGCTTCCTAGCCGCGATCTTGTTTCCAAAGCTGAAACTTCCAAACGTTGCTCGGCTTACATCCACCTAAAATCGTCCAACGTCCAGTGAGAATCAACCGACCAACCAATCAACCAATTTAATTATTGGAATTAATTACGAAGAGTGTACCTCGTTTCCATATCCTCATTTTTATCCCGTAAATACGTACGTGTTACTACGATGGAGGATGGAATCCGATCTTGCAAAAATAATCCCCTATCGAAGACACAATTTGGAAACGATCCTGCTCTCCCGTTGACGAGACGATTCCGAATAGATTAGAGTCATCTTCCTGGAATAACGACGTCCAGATCTGGTAGCTGTTGGTACACGATATTAACGATTCAAATTTATCACGCTCGAATGCCGGTCGGTGATTGCAGGCCGAGGGTGATTCGCGCCTCCTTAAAATCGGGTCAACGGGAAACGATTCCTTGAAAGAAAGAAAAAAGAAAATAAAAAAGAAAAGGAAGGAAAGGATAAAAAAAAGAGAAGAAAAAACGAACGTAAAAATTTAGACAAATTTCCCGACGCTTTTTCGTTCTTTCTTTCTTTTCGTAATTGATTATCAGGCGAGATACGAATTAGATACGGTTCGTTCGGGGAGGGATATTATTCGCGTTCAGGTTCACGGATCGAATAGATTTCATCGGGATGCAAGCAGGATGATATAAATGTTTTAATTTGGGAATTCGGTCTTCGAATATATCGGCCGGAAGCTCAGTGGAACTCCCCAGCGGTGCAATATTCCGTCGAGCAGGAAGGTGGAATCACCTCTGGGAAGGTAATTCTCGTTGCGTTCCTAGCTCTCGGTATCGAAGTGCACTCGATCAAGTGCGTTCGATGGTGTGTACGGTAAACATATAATCGAGTGCCGATTAAAACCGTCCTTAATCGGGGATATACTTGCGATTCGTGATCGCGAAATTTAGTATCGATCACGTTCCCCGGCTTCGTCGTCCAAATCGATAATAAATCATCCGGTTTGCATAATTTCGACGATGGAATCTTCTGGTAATGTAACTTGGGCTGGTAACAATACATCATCCCCTCAACAACCGCAAATTTTTTCCACTGCGGTAACGGGCCGTTTGAGCATCCACTCTACGTCAATTAATGGGATCATAATTCTTGAATAGTTTCGATGCGGCGTAATAATCAATTAGTGCCGATTGAGAGGAGCGGTAATTTTAATGTGGCAAACAATGCCATTAGCATGCAGCTATTATCGGGGACCGAGGGTTTGAACTGTGTCACGGCGAAATTATTCCCTATCTCTGAAGGGAAGTGGAGAAAAGTGGGAGAGAAAGGGGAAGGGTTGGGGAAACGAGAGAGAGAGATATGAATGAAAATGCTTATGCGCCGCGAACCCATCGCATCCCGTTAGTATTTTACTTCGATAAAGAGCCCCGGTTACATTACACAGGCGAAATGAAAATATCGGCTATTGTTGCGTCGCGAAACAGTGTCGGGATATAATTCATTACTTACATCCATCTCCCACTTGGCTGGATCACGGATCTGTACAAAGATTAGAGAGACATCGGTACGGCGGGACGATAAAAATGAAAAAGAAAGAGAGAAGGAAAGAGAGAAAGAAAGAAGAAAAAAAATTATTCGAGACATTGGAAACCGAGCGGTGATATAAATGGTCTATTACCATTATGAATGCCGTGAATAATTGAATTTTTCTCGCCTTCAACTTTCAAAGTCGAGCGTCGGAATTTATATGAAAATTTTATTCAACCGTAAATGAGATTAACATTGTGCGACGTTCGTAACATATTTATATATATGTTATGTATACGTATGTACATATACAACAGACAGCAACTATATCATCGAACATCACATTAAATTATCCATCGCTTTAACTTACATAAATCAAATTCCTCGTCGAACGGTGATGGTCGAGCGGTGGAAGAAATATTATCGTTTAAAATCGATCGAGTGATCGGGGGATCGATCCATCTTGTATGGAGATATCTCTCGTACGTATACTCTCCCTCTCCCTCTCTCTCTC